GCCTCTCGCCGCCCCTGAGCCTCTGGCCTGTACCCCAGTTCTGTATGCATAAATAAATAAATTTAAAAAAAATACGAAAGCAGTATGATGCAAGCGACTTCCTACGGTCGGGTGAAACCTCTGACAGCAGCTGAGTCAGAGCATTCTGGAAGTCACTGGCAACTAGTCAATGCTTTGTCACAACCGGGCCTCTATTTTCTGCGATAACCCAGATTCCCCTTCTCTGCATATAAGTAAAAACAATACAATTTCTTCCTCGTAAGATGGACACACACTTACCACTCTAAGTTGTCATCCAGCAAAAGGAGCAGTTTCAGGACTACCACAATAACAGCCACAGCTTGAACGTCATATTTGACAGTTTTTGCCACTTTAGCTATAGGATCAAATGTCAGAAAATCCACGTCTCCTATTCCAGTCATTTTTACCACTTGGCAAGTAAAATTGTGCATTTCATCTGTTGAAAGACCAAGACAGTGAAATGTGCGTTAAACTCGGCTGACTGGCCCAGGTAAGCGCACCTCTCAAGCCCAGTACAATGCTGACCTGGAGAGGCACATGCTGGGAGTAACACTGACTAGAAAGTAGCCACACAGAGAAACGAGTGGCTGAACTCCGGCGAGGCACTCGTCTCCGTCTGACCTCCACGACCATAGGACACACCTGGGTCCGCGGAGCGCGTGTGCCGCGTGCACCCCACGCCCCCCACACTGCTGCTTCACCCCCTTTGCTCGTGTGTTCTGCAGCATTCAGCACTTGCCCGAGGCTGCCTGCCCGGAGCCCGGGAGCCCGGGAGCCCGGGAGCTGGCTGGTGCCGCGCAACCCCAGGGCCAGTGCCTGGGCTTGTCAGTGGTTAGTTTTGTGACTCTGGGTCCACTCTCTGGCGGGGGTAAACCGAGAGTGAGCCACAGTACAAGCGACCTCCTAGGAAAGCGCGTAAGCCACCAGACACATTTCTCACTAGGCGCCTCGGACACCCGCAGCCCAGCTCCAGCGGCCCAGACGGCAGCCGCCGCTCCCCCCTGCACAGGAACGGGCGCCGCGGCCCGGGTTTCCTGCATGGGCGCGCCACTTTCCGGGGCCTCTGCTCCCCGGTCAGTCAAGCCAGAGAAGAGCAGGCTGCCCGCAGCTCCGAGACCCCGGAGGGCGACCGACGCTGGGCCTCCCTGCCCGCCTCCCTTCGTGGCCGGCAGACAGAACCCAGTCACATCTGCGGCGACGTGACACGAAGGAGGTGCCTGGCATGCACTGCGGCAGGCGAGACGCGCACTCTAGGCTCTCTGCTCCCCTGCCCCCCTCCCCTGCTCACCCCCATAACTGGTCTTCCTTGCTCCGTTCTGACCCGGCGATGATTCAACCACCTCAAACCCTGCTCGCATAACCCATGAGAACGGGAGCTCCTGTCCGAGGACGGGTCACCACAAATCCTGTTCTTGCTGGCCTCTGCTGTATGGAACTATTTTGACACTTTGTCCCCGAAAAGTCGAGTTCTTCCCCGTTTCTCGCCTCGAGCTGGCTGGGCAGACCCCTTCGGACAGCCTCGGTCGCGCCCAACCCAGCTCTGCTGCAGCAGCCCCGGCTGTCCTCTCCGGCCACGTACCCCACGGCTGCCGAGGGTACGACACTGGACACTGGACACTGGAAGGCAGGCCCGGTCTGGTCTCCCTTGTCTTCCTAACTGCAGCAACCTGCCCACAAGGATACGACCAACCTTGACTTACGAAGAGTGAGCAACATACAAAACTAATTCCTTTCGTGAAATGCTTAAATAAAACTTCTCCACTGATTAAAATATGCTTTGTTCGCGGGCCCTCCCTGGTGGCGCAGCGGGTTGGGGTGCTGCACTGCGGAGCCAGGTGGCTTCAGTGCGAGTTCGATCCCTGCCCCAGAGGTGACCACAGGGCGCAGCAGAACTCTCCTGCTTGCCCGCTGCTCCCCTCGGCAGTGGACTTTGTCGATCTGCCTGTTCTGCTCCCCGCTCTGACTCCCGTGACGCGGGAAGCAGAGCTCGGTGGCTGAGGTGGGCGCGGCGCCGGGGGCCGGGCCGGCACGCAGGCCTCCCTGGAGCAGGGCTTCAGCTTCTCCCCGGACCCACCATGCAGGGCAGGTGCAGACGCCTGCCAGTTACGCATGGCCTCCATTCAGGCGCGAAGGGAGAGTCGGGGTCGGGCTCAAGCCCACAACGGGCGTTTCGGGAGTGCACGCTGTTACCGGGAGGGCTGCTGGCGAGCGACGGCAGGACTCGGGCCCCCGGCCAGGCGGTCATAGACTCCTGAAGCTCATCTACGCAGTAGGGTTATGGCATCTACAATCGCCTCTCGGATTAATTTAAAAGTCAAAGCTCTATTTCTAGTCTTACCGTAAAGACGGACATTTCCTGGGAAGTGTCTCCTCCATTTCTTTTAGGTTGGCAGCTTTCCTGCTGCCTTGTGCCAAAAGCATGGAGGGACAAAAAGGCCATGGAACAGGATGGCAGAGGAAGCAAGGAGTCAAGCAAAAGGGAGGCCTGGGAGCCTGGACCTGCGGACCCCCAGGGCACTGTCACCTCCTGCCACCTACCAGCTTTCTATGTAGATGAGGACTCACCTTCCCTCCCTCCCCACCTTCACAGATGACGGGAAACTGGGGGGGGCGGTGGGGGGTTCCTGGGAAATGTGGAAGTTCCTCACAAATTACACCTGTGCAAGCTGCCCAAAGTTCTCTCAAGCGGGCTCCTCAGTCCGAGTGGGAGGGAAGATACTGACGTCTGTCTGGAGCGTGTTCACAGCCGTCCAGCGAGCGAGACACGCTCCTGAACCTTCCCAGGGGGTCCCAGCGGGCACACGAGGGTGCGTGTTGTCCCGGCACATGAACACAGCCTTCAGCCTTCTGCAGACCCTGCAACCTCTCTCCGTGAAAGTGCCAAATACCCAACCAAGTCTCCTCTCCTCCTTGGTCAACAGTCACAGGCTGTCGGCATGGGGAGAGGGCGCTTTGCCACTGTAAGACTCTCCAGAGGCCTTGGGAGGCCTGAGGGCGGTTTTCAGTCATGGCGCATTTTAGAATCTGAGTCCTAAGCACAGGGGTCTTGGCCTCTTGACCTGCTGATCTATTTTGTTTCTTGTCTTGCCCCCTATATTAAGTAATGTATACTCGTCAAAGGTTCATTTATAAAATACTTAAAGGTCGGAGAAAGGAAAAAAATGCATGTCAAAGCTTAGAAGTAATACAGTTTGGTTTGTTTACTTTTAATTTTTTCATGCATATTTGCATTTGATGTGGCGTGCATACATCTATACACACCCATACTGCATATACTTCTGCCATTGGGCTTATTTCAACTTTTGTCAATTTTACTTTACCATGCATTCTCCAAGAGTTCCCCTAAGAGTGCTTCCCAAAGACGACTTGAAAGCTGCCTAAAGCTCCCTGCTTAACTGTAACCTTTCTGTTGGCTCTTCAGGCTGTTCCTGATTTTTCAGTAGTAGAACCAGGGAGGTCACTCATATTATGTCTGTTTTTTCCTAGGCTTCACATCATTTCTACTGAGCAGTTCGTTACGTGAGAAGCGGGACCTCTGGGCCCTGTTCTGCTGACAAAGGGCGCGCAGGGACGCGCCAGGCCAGCACTGCCTGGCCGGTGTTGGTGGCTGTGGTCCTGCTTGCTGCTCCAGGAGGCCTGGCTGGGTACCATGCGAGCTGGCCACAAGCCTGGCAGCCTTGGCTTTGTTCTGGCCAACCCTGGTCTCCTGCCATTAACCTAACGACTCCTTATAGATTCAAGACATAGGAGCACACGAGAGGAGAACGTTCATTCTTTGAAAGAGCCGCCAAGGAAACCCGAATCCGGTCATTTCATCTCTGATCTATAAATGTCAAAACGCAGCAATCAGACTTCCCGAGCATGGAACCTTGCGTAGCTACAGGCTCAGTCCGAGACACCTGTTCCTCGCTCAGGAAGTGGTCTGCTTGGAAGGCTTGGTGACTTCTGTGCTTTTAAAAAATACTTTCAAAAATTACAGACTCAGCATTTGTTTGTGGGTGTGTGTTCCTAGTTACACATTGTATTTGGTGTTAAAGTTACACTAGACACAGTTTTGTATTTGCTTTTATCAAGTGTCTTTTCCTTTCCTATTAAAAACAGGCTCAATCACACTACTGATATTGTTTAAGCAACAGTGTAGTCACACAATGTTTGCATTTCCTCTTTAGAAGAGAAGTCCTGAATTTCTCGCATTTCTAGTTTAACAAGCCGCACGGACAGGATTCCAGCGGCAGCCCATCCTGCTGCTGCTCGTGCCAGAATGGCTTTGCGAGTTCCAGGTGATCCCCTGGCCTGACCGCGGTCAGCTCTCAGCGCCTGGAACCAGCTTTACGCTATCCAAGCCATCAACGCGTTACCACAGCTAGGCCTCTGGGACTTTAGTCAGAATTTCTAATGTGATGGTCCGGCCTTGTCGCTGGGCAGGGCTGCCTTTGGGGGGCGGGCGGGTGTGTAAGTCACTAACACAGGGAAACAGCTGCTGTTTCCTTACGCTCAGCAAACTGACTATAAGAGCCACGCACAGCCTCTCATGTCACACCCCTCACACCAAGACAGAGCCCGATTTAGTGTGCTTTAAACCACTTCAAATGCTCTGAAATCTTTTAAGAAAGGATCTCGAATTAAGCTTCACCTCAGTCTTTCTGGGTCTCTGACTTGGTTCTCCGTTTTAGTCGTTGTAATCTAGTAGGTAAAAGCTTCCTCAATACATACACCACACACTTACCAGGGAGATTGACTTCCATCAGGTATTTCATACACAAGATGTTTGGATGAAGATAGCAATCTTCAGTTATCTCTGGGAACCGAGGCAAATCTAAAAATGTGGCAATCTCAATCACCTTTTTATAGATATCCTCGTAGGTAGGCCAAGACTGAAATGAAAGCGAGACAGTCAAGGTGGCAATTTTGACAGCATCCATTGCTTTTGACAGTAATTTTGCAGGTAATATGTACTTATTGAGTAAAATTTGGAATGTGGAGAAAAGCATAAATCCTAATATCCTAGCAGTTTTAAACTGCAATACTACTAGATAAAAGTCTCTATTTGGCTCATAAAACTACTAGCTTGACCCTTAATACAGCAAAGTCATTGCTTCTTGCCAGCCACTGAGGTCTGGGGGGTGGGAGGGGGGCTCAGCTACCCCGGCTGAAGTTACAATGCTAAGTAATGCGCCTGCACCAGCACCCCACTAACATGCAAACTCGCAGCTCATCCTTGTATAACATTCATGTGCTCCTATGTGGAAGATGACACCAGTGTTTAAGACTCATCTTTAAAAATCCACAACTCAACTTCATACTAAACTTTCCCACGTAACAACAGATAAGATTCCTCTAGAGCATTCAGGAGACTCTATGAGTTAATATTAGTGAATTAATTCTGTTCACTCTGAGATCACCCATGGCTACTAATATTCTTGTCAGCTGTAAACATTCTTGGTATTAATGCAGCATATAATTTTTCCTCATTTACTCATCTGTTCACATAAAAAGTGATGAAGTTCAGTGTTTATTCTATGCAAGATACTTTGGGAAATAAAGGGATGGACAAAACAATCCCTCCAAGGAGTTTGTAATCTAGAAAGGGGGATAGAGAGGGTGTGCAAAATAACTACAGCGTGAGACAGAAAGTTGTCAAGCAACACAAATAATATTTTTCAAAAGATGCTTATGGGACTTCGGAAAAATGAACAAAACTGACAAGATCAGACCCTGCCTGCACTACGAACTTCTGGAAACCTTTCTGGCATTACTTAGTAAAAGACAAAGACTGCCCCTAGCTACTTGGCCACAGCAGACTGTGTGTGCACGCCACCAATAAAAAAAAAAACATTCATCGCCACACTCCTGGCAGAAGACCCAGACTGGGAACAACACTTTGACCCTGACACTGACGGAGCCCCGCACAGTGAAGACATGGACGCTCTCACGCAACGAACGAATGAACGTCAACGTGGAATGTTCACAGAAAAAAGTCAGCGCCAGAAGAGAATGGCTCCACGGAATCAAAGAACAGAGCTGAGCTCCGAGCCTCCATGAGGCCAGAGTCAAGGCACCGGAGGCTCTGGAGGGGCCCACACTGCACGCAAGCAGCAGGCCGGGCTGCTGGGCGGGTCAGGCTGTGAACGCCCCTCAGGCTCCACTGGCACTGAGCTCGCTCCTTTACCTCAGAACACAGACGAGTCAAGAAGGGAAATACAGCAATCCAACAAACTATTCTGTGTAAGAGAGCTGCCTCACACGTCACCTCAGAGGAGAAATAATTCAGAGTGGGAAAGAAGCACAAGGCCCACTCACAAAGTCCGGTGGGCCTGCTTACCCCCAGGGACTGGACAGCAATTCCACTTGTAACCAGTCTCATCTCTGAGAAGTCTTTCCTTCTGCTCACGCTAAGTGGACATTTGCTCCCCAATCTGATAGCCATTAGTGGTTTTTGAAAATACTGTCATGTCTTGCCCGTTTCTAAATCTGTGAGGTGTTTAGTAATTAGTTGAAAGAATAAGCACTTTGCTGTCAGATTTAACTCCCATGCAATTTTATTTCATTCATTTATTTTAAAGATTTATCTATTTATACATACAGAACTAGGGTACAGTCCAGAGGTGCAGGGGCGGTGAGAGGATTCACCAGAGACAGGGTAGGGTGGGGAACAGAACAGGCCGACTGACGAAGTCCACTGCTGAGGGCAGCAGCGGGTGGGTGAGGAGAGGTCTGCCGCGCCCTGTGGGTCACCCCTGGGGCGGGGATTGAACACGCACTGAAGCAGCTGTTGCCAGCTTGCAGTGCTGTGCGTTAAGCCGCTGCACCACCAAGGAATGCCTCCATGAAATTTTAAAGCATGAGGAAATTCTTCATATCTTACAGGGGTATGCCGACAGCTAACAATCAGACCATTAATTTCTAGAGCTTATAATGATGCTTGATCTTACTTTGTGTGAAGTTGTGGTCTTTGTATCACATTTATTTTGATACCACTGTTTTAGTATCTAAACTAAATCATATGTGACTGATGCATAGCTAAAGAATAAAAAGTAAATTTCTGACAATCCAAAGTAGCAATGTGGCCTCATGAACGCTGAGTAACTCTAGCTGTAGAGTGCTGTTTATTGTATTCTAATCTGTAAACTTAAGAGATAAAAGGAAAATAAATTCTCATTGATCTTTGGAAGGCAGTTGTCTTTTTATTTATGTAATAATTCATCCTGACCTGCTTCATTATGCAAAGAACTTGAAGAACCTTTCAAGTTTAGACAATTTTAACTGTCCTAGCAAGGTTTGTGATGACTCTAATCCTTTAAAGTAATGTATGTAGTTGACATTAAATATGTGTGTCTGCAAACAAGGCCAACACCAGAGCCCTGAATGTTCCTTTCAGAAATAAAATCACCTAAAGACCCACTAGTGGCTGATAAATTGATGACAAGTAATTATCAATATAAGGTCATTAATACAAAAGAAACCAGCAGGTTAAAAAGGTTTAATACATTCTCAAATGTTCACACTGAAAGACTACATCAGACTAAATGGCTGGTGACAGACCAACCACTATTTTTTCATAAAAGAACTGAAGATAAAATAATGCAAATCAACGTATTTATTCTATTGTTTACAGTAGTCTAGATTCTCTTAGTCTCAATTCAGATTTCACTTTTAAAAATTTCAACTACCTAAAAAACAACAAAATCTTCATTCATTTTTAAACAGACTCTTCTTTTTGAATAATACCAAAGTCTTTTTTAAAGGTGACTAAAGGGCTTATCAATCTTCTACGGCTGTTATTCCTTTAGGTTGTTTCCAATTTTTACACTAGTATATATTTTGCCATGATGAATATATTTTAGCAAAATTTAAATATGACTAAGTGACTATAAAAATAATACCCGATCATTATAGAAGTTTATGAAATACAAAATACTATAATAAAGACCATAAAAACTGCTCACAACTTAGAGAAAATAATTGTTAGGGACTTTGGGGCTTAACCCTCTTTATAACCTTGGCATTTAAACCCAAGAGCTACTCTGACACCTCTGCTTGGATATTTCTCACGTGTCAAACTTACCTGTTCCAGACGGGGCTCATGTCCTACCCCCCCTATCCCGGGCTCACACAGTCACACAAAGCCAACCTCCATGACACCCCCTTTCTTCACATCACATCTACTCAATCTACTCAATTCCAAGGCCTGTTGGCTCCGCCTCACTCTGGTCTGGGCAGCTGCTATTCCGCTCCTTCCTTCCGCTCCTTCCTTCCGCTCCCATTACCCCTCCTTCCTTCCGCTCCTTCCTTCCGCTCCTTCCGCTCCCATTACCCTGCTCAGCATGGGGCAGGGAGGGGGGTGGGGGGGGGAAGACTCCAGCCCACTGATCCCGCAATCCATGTTTGTTTGTCTCTTGAAACCAGCAGCAAGACAGTTCAAAAGCAAAACTGATCTATCACTCAACTGAAATCTCTGTGCTTCCGAGAACCTTCCCTTGGTCCCAGAACCTTGGTACAAGCTGAATTGGGGCATGTAGCTCACCTCCTGCATTTTCATGTAATGTGTTTTGCCAGCATTTTCTAAGGTCATGAGGTAGCTTTTGAAAACGCCATTTTGAGTGAATGGAAAAGAATTCCCTTGACGGAGCCATCACCCCATGGCCATCACGACATTTCTGCAGCTGCCCGTCGCACGCACCAGGCGAAGCGGCTGCTGGTGTCTTAGGGGCTGCCCTGTGACACAGGAAAATACTCTCGGTCCAAGGCCGAGTTGGGGAAACCCGATGTAAGTTCGCCTATTTCTTAAGGTCTGGCCCTGCAGCTCCTTATGCTCGTTAAATAAAAGGCCTGAAACGGTCAGGGCATCCAAGAAGAAACTGACTTTTTACTTCCTTCTTTAAACATTTTGTTACTTTCCGCATTCCTTTTATTTTGAAAGTATCACATTCATAAGAAAAAAATAAACATTCAAAAATATTTAAAAAATTAAACACAGAATTAACTATGACCTAGGAACGGTATTTCTGGAAACATGCTCAGCAGACTGAGCAAGGCCCTGGAGGCGACTTCTATGCCAGCCTTCACGGCCCCTGTGGTGGCAAGAGCCAAGCGGAGGCCGACGCTGAGCCCAGGGAAGAATGGCTGAGCAAAGGCGGGAGGCAGGCCTGGGGGCAGCGTTCAGCCCTAAAGGGGAACGAAACCCCGATCTACAGCCTGCGTAAGCCTCAAACCAGCGTGTGCCACGTGAACTACGCCAGGCCCACAGGGACGCGCACTGTGAGCCCCGTGGCACCGTCATTATCCAGCTCACAGAAATGGGGAGCAGAGTGGTGAACCTTGGGGGCTGGGCAAGGGCAGCCGGTGTTTAGTGGGGACCAGGCAGAAGGACGGTGCTACAGCCACAGCCCGAGTGTCCCGAGGCCCAGCCCCAGGGCCGTGAGCACATACTGCAGAATGCTCTGGTGGGAAATGTTTGGTTCTGCGTATCTTACCACTTTTAAAAAGCATGGAAGAATCTAAACAACATCAGTCTAAAACAAGCTAACTATTCCATAATGATCCTAATAAACATTTAACGACTCTTAGAATTGCTTATGCTGACTCTTCAGAAAATGTACCCAGTCTGGGACATGCCCGGGGGAGGGTCTCGGGGCTGAGGGACGCTGCCCTGTCCTTTACGAGGTGTGTGGGGTGCCCGGTGCTTCCCGAAGAATTAGAAAACTCCCAGAACCCTGTCCACACACCTCTGTGTGTTCGCAGGTACAAGAGCATGTTCTTTCACACTGCTTTGCTGACTGCTGCTCCTCTGACTCGACCTTAAATCTTTGTGGAACAAGACACAACTACCGGTCACCTGCCAGGCTTGTTATATGCCGACTCCAGGCCCCTCACC